CCGCTCTCGAGCAAGCCCAACAACGATAGGAGCTCACTACTACTCACCGAGCTCTCTCTAGCCCACCCGACGGCCGCCCACAACGAAATCGAGCTCCAAAAATTTCTCGGCGCAGCCCAAAACCCTCACCACCACCGCCAATCGGACATCCCACCCGAGAGCATGAGGCCCATCAAGGGCATCCCGGTCTACCCAAACCGGCCCTTCCCTTTTCTGGCCCACACGGGGCGACCCGATAAGGATCCCAAGATTCGCGGGCCGCTTTACCACCACCAGCTACCCGGCTTTCCCTCCTCGTCTTCCTCCTCTTCTACGGGCCCGGGCTACTTTGCGAGCGGGCTGGATAATCAAATGCCGCTCCTGAATCTGGACCCGGGCACGCCGGGTTACCGGGGCGCCGGTGGGAGGTTGGGCTTTCAGAGCGGGTACCAATATGGTGTGGGGATTGGGGCTCACGAGGGTATTTACGGAATAAATTATAATCATCAGACTCATTATCATCATAACCATCATAATCACAATCATCATCATCATGGGATTATGAGATCGAGATTCTTGCCTAAGATTCCGGCAAAGAGGAGCATGAGAGCTCCGAGGATGAGGTGGACAAGCACTCTGCATAGCCGGTTTGTACACGCCGTCGAGCTTCTCGGCGGCCATGAAAGTACAAATCTCTTCTTTTCGCTATTTTCTTTTTTTACAATAATATTTGTATTTGTGATTTTTTTTTTAATTTTTTTTTTAATTAGGGGCGACGCCGAAATCGGTGCTGGAGCTAATGGACGTGAAAGATCTGACGCTGGCTCATGTGAAAAGCCATTTACAGGTAGCTTTATTTTAAACTGATTCAAATCAAGAAGAAGAACGAAGAAGAAGAAGAAAAAAGAATAATATAATAATAAAGGGGTCAAAAAGAAAAAAAAGAAAAAAAGGAGGCCCAGGCATTAATTTGTTCTCCTTCTTCTTCATTAATCTCTCTGTCTTGGCTGTGTTTTAATTCATTTGTCTGTCTGTCTCTGTGTGTGTGTGGACTCAGTTTATTTGATCGGCACAGTAGCCGATGAATAAATAATAATAATAATAATAATAATAATAATAATAAAGATAATAATAATTACATAATGATAATAATATATGCAGAGTAGTGTGTTTGTAATTGTATGAATGAATGAATTGAAGAACAGTAGAGACGTCTTAGGGCTGACAGTCAGACAAGATATAGATAGACACAGAGAGAGAGAGAGAGAGAGAGAGAGAGAGAGAGAGAGATTTGAGGAGAGAGACGAGAGAGAGTAGAATGACAAAAAGAGACAAACCCAAAGACATCATTCTTCAATAATACACTTTCATTACTACTCTACTTTATCAAACCATCATCTTCCTCGTTTTTAATGATCATCATCATCATCATCATCAGTACATGTCTCTCACTACATTTTTTCTTCCTTTTTTACCCCCCTTTTTTATTTTTACTTTTTTCCTTTTTTTTAAAAAAAATTTTAATTTTTTTATTGGTAAAAAAATTGCAGATGTATCGAACTATTAAAACAACTGATAAGGCTGCAGCTTCCTCTGGTATGCAATTAATTATATTGCACATTTTTCTTCACATCACAAGAAAAAAAAAAACTCATTTTTCTTATTTGTTATTTAATATATTTTCTTGATTTGTTGAAGGGCATTCAGATGGGTCCGGTGAGGATGACCTATCGACTATCGGCAGCGGGAGCGAACGGGCCGGGCTCCGGCAATTCTTGGACGAAAGAGGCCCAAATTCATCTGGGCCTCTACCGCTACCACATGAACCTCATGATGAGAACTATGCATCGACCAACAATTCTACATTGTGGAGCAATTCTTCCAGGTAATTTTATTAATTTTTTTAAATAATAATAATAATAAAATAAAATAAGAAAACACACGTGTGTGTGTGTGTGTCTGCGTGCGTGTGACGATTCATATACATACGTGAATTGAAATGATCTCATGAAATTGATTAAACTAATATTGCTATTATGAACTGTATTTTATTTTAATATAAAAATTTCCTTTTTTGCATGGTACCTCAAAGTCAGACCTGCAAGCTCACGTCCACATTTTCATATTTATAATAATAATAATATAATAATAACTTTTTTTTTATTGAAATATATATATATATAAAAGTTTTTTGTGGCAGCTTTTGCTTTTGTTATGCTACATTTCTTTTTCTTTATTTTTATTTTCCTTTATTTGAATTTATGTAATAATAATCTTTTGTAGGATAAATAATGTGTTTTATAAATACAACGTGTTTTTTTGGTATGACAAAGTAAAACATAACATGAAATATATATTATTGTCTAATTGGGTACCATGAAAAATAAGTTTCTTTTTTTTTTATGTTTACTTTGTGGAATAAATGATATATTAACAAATATAACATTATTATATATTTGGGAGATTCTGTGGTTCCGTTACGGAACCATTCCGTCTGAGTTTGTAACCGTTAGATCTACTATTCACGACGACGGAATAATTTTGTAACGTGATGTAGCATTTCTCTATATACATTTTTCACCTGACATGTTATTGGCTAATGGGGTACCTAGAAAAAGTTATTAAGGTCACACAATTTCAAAAAAGCTAGGTTAAGATAAGAGAAAAGTAACTATACTATACCTCTATATACTTTTATATATCTTTTTTTTTAGCTTTGGAATATATTATTATTATTATTTTTTTCCTTAATGTTTGTCATAAAGTTTTAACAACTCTTAAAATTCCTTGTTCTTATTCTCCTCACGAGGAATTGTATCCCACATCGGACCAAAAATTGCGCAAGATCTTGACTTAAGTGCACGCTTTCTTTCTTTCTTTATTATTATTATTATTATTTTTTTTTTTTTAAGTACTATGGATTGATTGTACATATTCTTGATACTATGATTTATAATTTTATTATATTATAGGACAAATATTGTCTGGAACCAAAATTCTTTGTCATTTACTAATTAGTCCAAAATTATGCCTTTTTCACTATAATAGTTTGCATAATCTCAACTCTCTCTCTTTTTTTTTTTTCTCTTACATCTTAGTGGAATTCCATTTTTTATTGAGGTTTTATTAAAAAATAATCCAGTTTATATTTAGGGATGTAATTAGTTAATTAATATTTAATTTATACAAAAGGCAAGTTAACGTACTAAAAAAAAAGAATTGGACAAAAGGTAACTATTTAATGAGAGAAAAATAAATGCAATAACAAATGTTACCAACATTTGCGCTGAAATCGCCTATAAAGGGAAATGCTACCATCCCGTTACGAGATGGTTCCGCTGTTTTTTGTAGCCGTAGATATATATGTAATTTAATAATGTGTAGATAATTTACGCTTAAAAATACAACAGAATCATTCCGTAACGGGATAGTAGCATTCTTCGTAAGTATAATGCCTTTCATTCAACTCTATTAACTAACTACGAGTACCTTTTAATCTAGATACGTTGACCCAGTCGATACTAATTTTGGTACATTGACTCACACATTAATTTTCCAGGTTCAAATAGTCAACATCTAGAAAAATCTCATACTATTATTGATTGTGTTTTTCAACAAAAGTTGTGAGATCTGTGTGTGTGTGTGTAAATGCAAGTAATTGCACGGTATGTTTTTACTTTTTTACTGTGCTGCACATTAGTCAATCAGCACATAAATGAGGGGAATTTTACGGTCCCGTTACGGAATCATTCTGTCGGGATTTGTAACCGCTAGATCAATTATCCACGACGGTTACATGATGATCTAACGGTTACAAATCCCGACAGAATGATTCTGTAACGGGACTGTACCATTTCTCCATAAATAAAGCTAAAACTAATCAATTAAGGGAACAAAAAAATCTTGAATTCACAATAATGACACATTTTTTGAGTGATGCTGGTTTTTTTAGATAAAAATAGTTGGCTCATTAACTATTAAGCTTCTTCTTAATTATAACAACAAAATGAATTTTATTTTAAAAATTGAATTAACACTCTTGATTTTGCAGTAGCAGAGAGGGTTGGCTACAAAGCAATGGTGGTGAATCACATAATAGCCTCATTGGCTCATTGTCCTTTCCCTAGCAATGTTGTGAGTTCATGACAATATCTCGTGGTCGATCAGGTAACATTGGCTTCCTTCATCTCCGATACGTTTTTTACTCGTCTGAAAAAATATTTAAAATTAACATGCTTATAGAAAAATGGTTACACATTTTTATTTAAATTGCAGTTCACATATTCCGGTATAAGGCAGCCTAATCGTTAGGCCAATCGACTTTAGTTAGGGAAAAGTATGATTGTATGAACGTTGGCTTAACAATGGTTAAACTTATTATTTATGGTTATCATAAATACGAATAAGTTGTCTCTACAAAATTTGTGGATGCATATGTAACATGCAATGTTGTACAAAATGAAAACTAACATGGTTCTATTATTAATTCATGGGTATGAAAATGTGCATTGTTAACCTGATAGAGTAATATTTGCAGGATAATGGCCGGAAAAATGCTGCTTAACGTCAAGTGTGAAGACACTCGAGCATCGGATTTTGGGCTGCGCGTGATGACTAGCTAATATCATTAACTATTTCCATTTCGGAATAATAATGGGGTTTCTTTTTATCTTCTTCTTCTTCTTCTTCTTGTTCTTGAAGATCCTGATTTTGTGAAGGCATGATTATATATGTAATGTAATGAGAAAAGAGGTATTGTTGATCAGTCACGAAGACGAAGCTGCCCTCGATCGCTCAATGGATATATATCTTGTTTTTTGCTTCCACTTTGAAAATTTTTCCTTTCATTTTCTTCTTTATTTTTGCTTTTGGTTTGTATATCTTTGTTCTTGAGCTAGAAAACCTCTCTTTTCTTGTATGTTGTTATGAATTTGGGAGATTGGGAATATATGTATCTTTTTTGCCCTACTCTCTGGGTTTCATCACTTTGGTTTTTGCTATATTGAGTGATATATGTATGTTATGTAACAAATTTCAAGCCCAATGTAATTTAAATTAGGGCCTTTATTTTATTCTATGTATGTAGTAGATGATATTAATATATACTAGTATAACACGCGTGATTATATGGGTACCAATTAAGAAATTTATATTGAAATTTCTAAAAAAAAAAAAGTTAAGCGAAAAGTTCTTTTCTATTTAAAATACTTTTAGAAAATTACACTATTATTTATATTTAAAATAAGAATTTTACTTGTACGATTTGCCCGTATAATTATTTTCTTAGTTCAGATGTAATAAGATATTTTTTTTAATTGATACATAATTTATTAACTATTAATTAGTACTGATAGATGATTTTACTTTATAAGTAAATATATAAATATATTTATTTATTTTTAATATGCAAAATGGACATCAAATTGAAGCTTGATCATCAAATATAATTAATTTTATGTATTAGATATAAAAATTTGATAAAAGATACAAATGTTGTTAATTTTTCAATATATTTATAATGTGGGTTAGTCAAGTTTTTCTGTAATTTTAAAAACTCTAATAGGTATGGATAGAATCTTAGTCTACATGACTGCTCCAAAGCACTAGAAATTTAAGCACAGTGACACATTACGAAGTACTAGAAATCGACATGTATGATCGGGATATTCTGCATTTGTACGTGTATAGAGTGATGTCTGTACAAAATGATATATGGAGAAACAAAATTATATTTAAAGTACTTATTTTTTTTATTTCTTCAAATTAGATTCATTCCATTGAAACTAAAATGAAATAAATATATTTACAAAAAATATTATTCAGTTCATCTCACTTTTTGTCAACCAACACATGCAATTGAAATAATATTGTGCAAAATTCACAATAGTATTAGAAAAGAATACTATTGTATATAATTCATTCTATAGAATTAAAGAAATCTATTGTGCAAAAATTCCATTTAATAAATGAACTTTTAGAGAAGAATACTCTCAGCAACCACTCTCAAACAAGCACTAAATAGTAAATATATAATTCTTGAGACAATTGGATACTAACCAAATTGATTGGGGCCTAATTACAGTGGCTCCAATATCGAATACTTCCGGCCCAATACTTTCTCTTTTTTTTTTTCGACATCTTTAGGCCCATATTATAGTCAGTAAAACCTTCATATCTTTCAACTACTTTACATGTTTACTATATATTTTTTTTTTCTCTCTAAATATATGATTTTCAAAATAAAATCCATTAATAAAAACTAGTTATAAATAAAAATAATAATGGAATCTAAAATCAATAAAAAAAAGGTGAACCAAAAATAAATTATTCATAAACAGTGAAAGTTAGTATATTTGCAATTTAAAATAAAATTTTCTTAAATAAAATTTGGAGTTTAATGGTGTAATTTTCTCATTGATTTATGCCACAAACATTACGAAATTTCGTTAATTTTTGCTAATGCATTATCATGTATATACACCAATTGATTGATTCGTTATTTTTTTTAGACTAATTATCCTAGGTAAAATAATCACGATTTGTTTTTGTTTAAGCAAGCCCATATTCCTCCCCAACTCGTAGCCCGTCTATTTAGGCATGCCTTAAACAGGCCTATAAAATTCTCATTTTCCTTTCCGGGATAAGCAAATTATCCAAACGGGCCTTAGCCCATTTTTACGGCCATTTATCTTCATTATGATCTGTTGAACCTCGGCCTGCAGCCAGCCAATCAGTCAAACTACCTTGGCCCAACAATTTTTGACCTCAAAAAACGTAAATTAAACTGCAAAGAGAAAAGAAACACTCTTTTTCTTTTTTTTTTTTGGTACATAAAAAGAAACACACTTTTAAGTTTTGATCTAAACCATATACTTTGACGTGGAGCTATCGGATGACTCGACTTATGGAGTCATCCATATTTATTCACTAATAGTGTATTGACACGTGTCCTACAATAAATACAATTTGGACAAATGTCAACAGATATGTAGTGGATGGCTCCATAAGAAAACCATCTGATGACTCCATAGAATTTTGCTAAACCATAAACACGCTTTAATATATCTCGGAATTCTTTTCTGCTAATAATCATTTTATAATCGAGATGTTACAGCTTCAACGTTACGACGGACGGCATGGTGGCCTCTTGAAGGGTATCAAGGAGATGTTGGGATGATCGTGGGCGGTGAAGATTAATCATGGGTATATATCGTGAGGCCAATTATGTGGCAAATTATTTGGCGTCTTTGGCATCGAAGGTCCGATTGGTCTTCAACGGTTGGCGAGCCCTCCAGGGGCCAGTGTTTGGTTACATCATGACAGGGTCGGTGTATCCTATTCTCGTTGATTATAGTCTAAGCTCTGCGTAGCCTCCTTTTATGCAAAAA